ATAAACACACAGCCCATATTAAGTAGAAATTATGTACAACAGTGTAGTTCCCAGGGAAGGGGGTTGGTGACATCATCCTCATGGCTTAGGTGGCATGCTGTCCCTTTAAGGGCTCATTGCAAAACAAACCCTGAAAGCTAGTTTCACTTTCTCCTTTTCTCATAAAAGTGAAAAGCCTCTTCAGATTTCTTTTGGTTATAGAAAACAGGTATTAATGTAGATCTTTTGTAAAAGCCAAGCGGTGTAAAGCGACCTTTTAAAAAGTGGGCGATACTTTATATACCATATATATTTTTATTTCCTTTCTTGCTTTAGGGCACTGGCTAGAACTTCCAGTACTATGTTGAGTAAGAGCAATGAAAGCAAACATCCTTGCCTCGTTCTGGATCTTAAGGGGAACATATTCAGTTTCACCACTAAGTATGTTAGTTGTAGATTTTCACAGACACACTTTATTAAATTGAGGAAGTTCCCTCCTAATCCTATTTTTCTGAGAGATTTTATAAATGAATACATGTTGAATTCTATCGAATGCTTTTTCTGCACCCATTAATATAATCATGAGATTTGTCTTTAGTCTGTTAACGTGGTGGAATATATTGATTCATTTTTGAATACTGAATCTTTCATCCCGGAAAAAATTTTACTTGGTCATGGTATATTATTCTTTTTATTTATTTGCTAAATTCTACTTTTTGTTAGGGATATTTGAGTCTATATTTATGAGGAATAATGGTCTAAAGTTTTGTCTTTTTATAGCTGTCTTTGTCTGGTTTTGGTATCAGGATAATACATATCTCTTTTCATTATGTTACTTTCAACTTGCCTATACTGTTGTATTTGAAACGAGCTGCTTATGGACAGCATGCTGTTCATTAGTTTCAAGTATGCTCAATGATAACTGCACATTTAAGCATTTTTATGATGGTTGCAATTCTGCATTGCTGGCTTCACCAGCTCATAGTCTGGGATACATGAAGGAAAAACAAAGAAAGAAACCAGGGAACTAATCATCATGTCATTCTTCAGGTTCCAAACTTCCTTTTCTCCATCTTTTAGAGCTTTCTTGTTTATTTTTTATATAATGTCCAGTTGTTTTAGCTGTAGTTAGCAGGAGGAATAGAGAAGCATAAATTTATTCCATCTTCCCATTTATTTTTATATAATCAATAAACAACATTAAAAAGGATGGAAAGTAAGATGTCCATTGTTAAGAAAAGAGATTATGGCTTTCTACTCTTGAGAAAATAGTAAGTTAGATAACTTAACTAACACTAACTTGCTGCCTTTGAGTTGCTTCCAACTCATAGTGACCCCTCCTTGGGTTTCCAAGGCAGTTATCTCTATGGAAGTCGATTGCCCAATCTTCCTTCTGAGGAATGGCTGGTGGGTTTGAACTGCCAGCCTTCCAGTTAGCAGTCAAATAAATGCCTTGGGCACTATGCCACCAGAGCTCCTGTAGCCCTCTAAGACAGTTATTATTATACAACCAACATTTATTTAAACTTAAATAAATGAATGAATGAAATCTTCTAACCTTAAAAATCAAAGAGCTTAAAATAGTTTTTTAAAATCAAGATTTTCCTCCATATCTATCTACTAACATTATCCTTTTTTTTTTTTTTTTTCCTTTTTGAATGCTTTGTTCTTATAAAATAATACTGAGCCATAGGGGTCACTCTTTTCTTGTTTAATTGTAAATACAGAACATACTTGATAAACTAGAAAACCAAGTCTCACTCACAACTTAAATTTTTCTAAGTGGGATAGACAAATCAATGAGTGGTCTATATAATTACAAATGCTTAATCTCAAAGAGCCCCTAGCCATCACATATTTCATGTATTTCTATGTGGTAACTTTTTTAAAGAAACTTAATATATTTAAAGATACTCTGGTGATGCAGCGCCTAAGGCATTTGACTGCTAACCAGGAGGTTCGCAGTTCAAGCCCACCAGCCGCTCAGCAGAAAGATGAGGCAATCTACTTCTACGAAGATTTACTGCCTTGGAAAGCCAATGGGGGTTGCTGAGTTGGAATAGACTCTGTGGCAATGGGCAATATAAAGAAAAACACTCAACTTTTGAAGTGATCACAATGCTATACAAGAGTTAATAAAATTGGGCTAAACTTTTTATGTTCTCTTTTCTTAAAAGAAATCATATCTAAACACGTAAATATGGTATATTCTACGATAAGAGCATATTAATGCAACATCTAGACTGTACAAAGTCATTTTCATCTGAATATATGTGTGCGCACACACACACACACTTATATTACACATACACAGCCACATTATATATATATTTTTTCCTTCAACAAAATAGAAGTATAAAGTTTATGGGAATTTCCAAAGTAACAGAAGACAATTTTATTAGTAATCTAATTACTATGAGATGTAAACCATTTTTCACTCCCTTGAGCAAAACTGTTGTAAATTCCAGAGGATAAAGCAACGTCAAAATAAATAAATAAACGAACCATTTTCTATAGTATATCTAATAGTGAAATTAAAGAGTCAACATGTAAAATCTGCTCAGTTATGGAGTTCAAAATAAACAAGTTTATAAAATATAAGTCTAATTGTTTTGGTATCTAAGTAATGCACCAAAGGACTTCCCAGTTAAGGGAGTCTAAATTCCTACAAATAAATAAGGCCCTGCTTTGAAGTCAATTTCTCTTTATCTGAAATTTGTCTTTTTGTCCTGACAAAAGATAGAGCAATACTGACTAAAGTAAAACAAATAGTATTACCACTAGCACAAACCAAGGAAAACACACATAAGAGTGATAGTCAGGCGTAATGCCAGTCAAGTTGTGATTATTAACAAGTAAGAGATATTTTGTCAGTTATTAGGTATATTAAAGAAATGTCACATCAGCTGATTTTTCCTTTTGTGTGGAATTTCTTTGAGAAATCTAGACTGATCTTTTGGGGAAATGTTTTTAGTTCTGAAATTATATTACCAATGTCAGGCAACCGTGCCAATAGTCACACAGCTTAAAAGTGAAGGTACATGGAAAATCTAAAATAGGCTTTTCATGGAGATGTTAAGAATATAGGTTTTTTTCTCTCTCTGAAATAAGTTACAGGAAAAGGAATGAATAGGTGGAACATTTTTAGCTCAGTGAAACTATTCTGTATGAAATTGTCATGGTGGGTACACAACACTACGGATTTGCCAAAATCCACAGGATTGTATAATTCAAAGAGTGAATCTTAATATAAACTATGAGTTAAGTTAATAATTAATAATAATTTATCAGTATTATTCCATTAATTGAAACAAAGTACCTCACAAATGCAGAATGCTAGTAACAGGTGAAATACTGCAGGGAAGAGAGGGTAATACAGGAACTCTGTACATTCTGCATACTTTTTCTATAAATTCAAACTGCTGTGAAAAAAAAAAAAAGGTTGTGCAGTGGTTAAAGCATTCAGCTGCTAACCAAAAGGCTGGAGGTTCAAAGCAGTCTGCTTCCATAAAGAGTTACAGTTTTGGAAACCCTACGGGGCAGTTCGACTCTGTCCTATAGAGTAACTATGAGCTGGAATTGACTTGAGGGCAGTGGATTGGTTGGCTTCATTTAAGTTACAATGTATCACAAAAGAATAGAGAGCACAAATAAATTAGAGGTAGAGTTCTCAGTAGTTAAAAAAAGATAACTAAGAGGGTGAAGATTTTTCAGAATTTATTATTAACAAATGCATATAACAGGAAAAACCTTAATTTTCATCTATTACTTAAAAAACAGCTGAATGAAGTAAAATTTCTATCAGTAGCCTATGGAGCTTTAAGTAATGTCACATCCTTCTTAATTATGAAACACAAATAGGCCATCAACCAAGCAAGGAACTAAGAACCCTGAGAAACTATACTGTCTGCCTTCATTTTATTTTGGGTAAAATAATGTTTTTAAAATTACATTAAACAATGACAAAATTAAAGGCTGTAAACACACATGCTGAGGAAGTATGGCTATGAATTTTACTTTAACAGTTTATCTATTTATGGTGATAGAAAACTTAGCAATGGTGATACCAGTGATGGCTGCACAACACTGATAAATGTAATTGGTACCACTGAATTGTAATATAAAAAATGTTGAGTTGGCAAATGTGCGATATATATTGTTCACAATTTTAAAAAAATTATATATAGAAAAACAATTTATACATGCAGTGCTGGGTTATAAATGAGACCTGTTCCTGTGTCTTTAAGAAACTGTCAGCGTGCTACCCAGTTCACTTGTGGCCAAGGAAGCATCACCAGAATAAGCACCGAATTTTTTTAAAGCCCCCTAGGGAGCTCTGGTAGCATAGTGGCTAAGGCACTTGACTGCTAACCAGAAGGCTGGAAGTTCAAACCCACCAGCCACTCCTCAGAAGGAAGATGGGGCAATCTACTTCTATAGTGATACTGCCTTGGAAAGATAAGGAGGGGTTGCTATGGGTCAGGTCCAACTCGATGGCACATAACAACAACAACAACGACAACGGTGAATTAGAAAGACAGACAGGATGGGAAAAATTATAGGTCAGAGCCTTGCTAGAAACTTAATCTCCCTCTTATAGAAGAAGAAAGGCAACAAATATGTCGCAGAGCAACCAAATCTCTTGCCCTAGACTTTGAGCAGTCTAAAGCAGCGTTGCTCTAGTCAAAGATGGTGGTGTCCCACTCAAACATGGCAGCCAATGGCACTTCTTTGTATGTGTGTCACTCTCCTACAGTCCTGCCAATAATCTAATCTCAGGCACTAGGCTCCTGAAAGGACTCACTATGCCTCTTTCCAAGTCTTCCATTTCAGTGCTTTGATTGTAATTTTTCCCATTCCAAGTACCATGCAGATTTTGACAAATTTTAAAACTTTGCATTTGTTCCTCTTTTGCTTCATTGGCCATGACAGAACTGGTTTAAAGAGCAAGCAGGAGTTGTCTGTAAGTTGGACATTCATAACCCAGGTTATACATTGAAAATCTTCAGTCATGGGTTTACCTTATCAGCTTTTAGCTTTCTGAGGAAAGATGGATTGTCATATCCTTTTGCTTGCCTTGCCTCTTGTAAATGGTTGATCATCCACACATTTTTTCTCTGCTTTGCCAAATCAAGTGCTGATTCACCCTGATAATACAAGAAGAAGAAAGTCACATAAAATATTGTAGTTACTAGCTTTTAAAGCACTTATAGAAAAAGAAAATTAAGATTTTGGTATTAGTTCACTGACATTACTGTTTTGACAATGGATAAAAAGTTATCAAGTCTTCAAATAATCTAAATCATTAACGTATTATTATACTTCCCAATTCAGAAAATGTATTTACTCATCATATTCTCTGGATTCTACTTTTCCTTGAACTTTGAATCATATTAGAAAGCAAATCAAAAAGTAGTATTTTAGAACTTGCTGGATCAGAGGATATCACTAAGCTTACCTTCAGTCATATACTTTTTACAGATTTCTTGAGTAATAATTATTGCTATAAAACATCATGCTATAATACTAAACTGCTAGAAATCTCTGTTTTATTTCAGTGATGACAAGAGTCTTAAGAAGAGAATAGGGAAGACAAAGAAAAGTCAACTTCTTCTACTACCACTGTCAGAATGGCATTCTTGACCTATCTCAAATTCATTCATCCATCCATTCAGAAATTTCCAAAGAAACAAGAGAAGCAACAGAAAATAGAGAAGCTCAAGTTATGTAACTCTCTTTAAGCCCAGGAAAAAGAATGCCAGGGAATATAAGTGAACAGGATTAAAATATATTAAAGGAAGTAAGAAACAAGAAATAAGCGTCTTTAAGTCTAGATCCATGTTTCTTTTTGCTTTTGTTGATTTAAAATCTTATCTTCCCTTTTGCAAATCTGTCAGACACCTACATTTCTATTAATGTTCTCCATAATTTCTCTACTTCTTTAAATAGGAAAGTAAAATTTTAAATATTTGTCA